TCATGAGAACTTTCACTCCACCGGTGCCTCTGGATAGGCTTTATTGCTGTCAGCCCTCCCTCCCTTTATTCCCTTTCTATATTGCTCTGTGCTCTCTCTGGGTGTTTTATTAACCTGCATCCTGCAAAAATTCAATAAAAATATACAATTTTTTCCTTTCTTTCTTCCTCCCCTTTTTTTTTTGTCATGCTGGCTTTCAGAGACAGAGCTCTGGGGAAGGCTCCTTTGGTTAGTTATGAGGAACAGATGGGAATCAAGAAAAGGTACTTTCTGTTCCTGTACCCACCTAAATTGGAGGTAATTAAGTTACAGTGAGACATCATTTACGTTAGCAGCTTCTTTGGTGAGATCAAGGCTATTAAGGGTACATGTGAGAAGTAGTGGGATTCAAGTCGGCGGTGCTTTGAGAAATAATTGGAACTGTATTTTTCCGGAATGTGTTTGAGGCACTGAGGTCCGTGGTGGGACAGTCGAGCCTTGCACCCTTACTGCGCTTTTCATCTCCCCAGCTCGTCGCAAGATGCCCCGGCGAGAGGAGAACTTCTCCCGTTGTAAAAGAGGGGAGCGAAGTGGAGCATGTAGCTGCTGGTGGTAGGAAGGAGACAGAGAACCAGGATGGGAATTTGAGGTTCCGCTGGGCAGGCTCAGCAGCGCGGGAGCTGTGACGCTTCAGCAGGCTCTCACTTGAGCCCTCAGACAAGGGAAGATCTCTGTCTTAAAGACAAAATACCCCATGAAAGGGTTCCTTAGACCACTGTGCCTGCTCTGGCCGGTTTTCCTCTCGCCTCACTCCTCCTACAGCCTGCGGTCTCTCTACCACTTTCCGACTTGGGCTGGGTTTCCAGGGGCTGACACCCGCAGCCCATCCCCCGGGGTTCTGCCTGCACTGGGCGTTGGCAAGGGATGCTGTAATTAGCACCGAGCCAACTTCAGATCCTCTTCCTTCCTTTTCTTTCAACAAAGTCTTCTTGAAGCCTCCCAGGCCTCCATCTGCATCCAGCAGCTCTTGGGTGGGAAAGTTTCTTCCTCTTGTTTCCTCTGGTTTATTTTCTCAGCTTTCTTCACACTGTGCTTTCTCCTTGGAGTAACCCAGATGGAACCAGGGTTTACGTCAGCGTTAGATGTGTTCCTTCTTCATCTGTTTAATTCCAGGAAACGCCACTCTAATTTTCTCTTTTCTCTTTGGGAGAATTGGCGTTTCTTTTCTGTCCCATGGGAAGGTCGGTCGCCTTTCTGACATGCTGGTGGGTTATGCGGCTCACGGAGATGGCTTTGGAGAAGAGAGCTTGAAGCGAGATTGTCACAAAACAGGGGAGGTTAGCCTGAGGGGGCTGCATCTTCTCACGTGTGAGGTGCTTTGTGTCGGTTGCTTGCAGCTCTGTCTTAACATCGTTCGGTTGCGAGCTTTTCAAGGCAGGGTCTGTTTGCTGCTCCATACACGGAAGAATGGACCCCCTCTTCCTTCTGCGGTGTTTGGGCACTAGGGCAACACAAGTATTTCTGCTGTCAAGGTCCTTCATTATACAGCTAATACCCCGTAAAGCAAAAAAGGAGAGTGAGACCCGTCGCAGAGAAAGTTGTCCTGGACATGACCTGTCCGAGGCACCCATCACTGAAACGTACGGCTTCCTGCCAGCAACGCAAAGCGCCGTCGTTGAGCTGCTGCACTGATTCATAATACATCTTCATTCAGTAATTTCCATTAGGATTTATACTTTTCAAAATTATATTTAGGGAAAATAAACCCTATTTTTATGTCTCTCCCTAGCCTTCATGGAGCTTTACCCAACCAGTATAGGAATAGAAGAAAGTTAATTTACAATGTCTTCGTATAAATTAATCTCTTGCTTTCTTCTTATATTGTAAGTTATCACCTTGTTCACTTTATGCAGCTCAGGGGTGAGCAATTTTAAAGAGGCCTCAGACAGTTATGAAGTGAATGGTGTGAGGTGTCAGATACATTTATTTAAAATGCAGAAAAATATAAAAACCAGAGGATGGAGATGTATATATCTCAGTCACTTGCCACCAGCAGGCACCTTCTATACCACAATTTATCCTCCCACTCGGTGAGTTCTGCATAATTATTTCATTGATATTGTTTCGCTCTGTGCTCAATCTAAATATTTTTTAAGTATTAGAGTTACAGAACTGAACAGCTCGTTAGTTGTGTCTATCAGGAGTTTATTGTGTGAGACACCCCTTAAAAACCCCCAAACTGTTGTGCCAGCACAGCTAAACTTGGTACCGTTTCCACTTTTCTCTGGTGGTAAATTATTCAGCTTACAATTGCTAAAACTTGTGATGTTTATGGAAAATCTGTTTTAGTAATTGCACTTACTCTGCTTCATTGTGAGCTTCCTGCAACGTTTGTCTTAAGGTCGCGGTGTTTCCTGATGCTGGATATTTATCATACATTCGTGGCGCTGGCAGGTTGATAGGTACAGTGGGAGCTTCATTTCAGATTCGTGGCAGCTGCATACTTTTTTGAGGAACAGAATTAGGATGCAGAAAGTATGTGTATGTATGGGGGTATATGAAAAAGCCCCAAAAAACAAATGTGTGTGTGACAGTGTAATACAGATGTTCACGTACATACTAGGGAATGCAAAGGTTCTGAAAGCATACACGTAAATTTTGTCAAAGATAATTGAACGTTAGAAGGCTTAATTAAAGAACCCAGCAATAGCTGTAGCATCTGTGGGCATGAAAATTTGAGCACATGCGCCTCAGTCTGTCTTCAGGTCTAAAAGCTGCACACATTACAGCATGGTTTACATTCAGTAACGTGGTTTAGAGCCTTTCTTTTCTCTCTTTGCATCTGCCCCACTTCAGCATGCGACAGCGTCCCTGACGCAATCAGCTGTGAAGATCAGCTTTGCTTTGGCAGCCCGGTGGCTGGGCATTTCTGGAGGTGTGGTGGCATCGGTGCAGAAAGGAGTTGTTGGTGCTTCTGATGTCGCTGCGAGCTCAAAGGTTATCTAAATCCAAAGCCTTTTGTTCCCTCTTCCTGTATTTGTGTTTGTTCCAACAACTGCCGGTTAAGATATCCCTTATCAGAGATTGTTCTGGGGGGAAATTTCTTTCAGCTTCTTTCAGTCCTCCAAAAAACCCTGCTTGGCTGTTTACGACTCTCGCATGCCTTACACACACTTTTCTGTTCGGAGCTGGCAGACTGGATGGTGCTTAGACCTGTTTGGGTCTCGGCAAGCTCTTCAGGATCTTGCTCTTGGTATTTCTATCTCATTTTTCAAGCGGTAATTGGAATTTTCTGCAAGCACGAGTGTCTCATGTTAAACAAAGTGATGACAGAGAATAATAAAATGAAAAGCCCTTTTCCCTCAGGGTAGGAAATCCTGAAATCTTTGTTCAAAACAGCACTGTGAACTCTAACTACCAGCTCTCCTTCTCCATCTCTTTGATTTTGGTATGCCATCATTTTAGAGCAAGACAGTATAATTTCAGCAACTTTTCCCCCTAATATAATGATTCAACAACTTGATTGCTTTCTCTGCAATGGTGAGGCCCCTCAGATGCCACTGATTTTTACCAAGGCTTTCAGGGACTTTTATACCTTTTCTCCCGCAGCCTCGTGGTAAATCACTCAGCAAGAGATACGTCATTCAAATCATCCTTTTCTGCCTTCTACCTAAATGCAGTCCTTAGGCTTCGTCCTACGGGGCTCACTTTATTTCTTTTTTGAGGGAAGGAACTGGGAGTGAGAGAAGAGGGTGAAAAGAGGCTGATTTTTTGGTTTATCTGGATCTGCAGTATGTGCCTTGCCTCTTGTCGTAACTCACGTAGCATAAGTACCTTCCTTGGGTGCCTTCCTGGACTCACTGATAGAGTTGCTTTTAAATGGCAAAAAGTGATAGTAAAGTCTTAGTTTATGGCACCCAGTAACAGATTCAGTCTTTTTATCCCAGGTAACAGAGAAGACCCAGGCTGAAATTTTGAAGGATCTTAAAATGCATTCAGTTCCATAGTGAATTTCACTGATATTTGATTGTTTAAAACAATTTTTTTTCCTGTTTGAAAACTCACCCTGCTATTGAATGAAGTTCACTGCTTTGTAGCTGAGTAAGGGCACCCCTTCCTCGTTCTTTCACACTTGGAAAAAAGGGACTGGGTTTGGTTACTGGTGGTGATATTTCTTTTCAGTGTTTCTTGAGGTTTGGCTCGTGATGGAGTAGTTCAAGTATGACAGGGAGTCAGAGAGTCACATCTTTAGTGTTGCTCAGCTAAATGCTGAGATGCCTGGGCAGGTCATAGCTGCCAGTCATAGAATCACAGACTGGTTTGGGTTGGAAGGGACCTTAAAGCCCACCCAGCCCCACCCCCTGACACAAGCAGGGACACCTTCCGCTAGACCAGGTTGCTCAAAGCCTCATCCAGCCTGGCCTTGAAGACATCCAGGGATGGGGCATCCACGGGCAACCTGTTCCAGTGCCTCACCACCCTCTTCTGTGAAGATTTTTTTCCTGATATCTAATCTAAATCTGCCCACTTTCAATTTAAACCTGTTACCCCTTGCCCTGTTACTACAGGCCCTTAGAAAAAGTCCCCCCTCAGCTTTCTTGTTGGCCCCTTGAGGCACTGGAAGGTGCTCCAAGGTCTCCTTGGAGCTTTCTTTTCTCTAGACTGAACATCTCCAACTGTCTCAGCCTTTCTTCATAGGAGAGGTCTGTGCAAAGGAGAGCATCCTTGTTTATCCAGGGCCTTCTCACTTTCTGTATCCTTCAAGCTCAGCTACCCACCCAGAGCTGTGCAAGCAGAGGTTTTTGTGTGAAGAGAAACTGCTATTTCATTCCATCCATCCTTAATAACTTCTCAGATTTTGCCATAAGACAAGCCTGGAATCACTAACATGATGAAGATGCCACCCAAGAAGGTGCCATACCAAGCTACTGCTTAGCAGGTCTTTTGCCCTCTTATGGATGAGCTGGTCCCACATCCTACCAACTTGGCCGGGGAAGAGCATGTGCTACTTTACACCGACTATGGGCATGCTGCCTCTAGCACGGATCATGTCTTCAGAGGGGGGTAGCCGCTCTTGGCGTTGCAAAACTGACCGTGTGAGTGAGCAGCGGGAGCTGTCCGCATGTGGGGCGGTGAGGACAGGTAGAAGGGGGTGAGGGGTGTCAGCCTTCCTGCAGTGCCCTTTTTCTTACAGCTCTGTAAATATTTGCCTTGCACATAACCACAGATGAATGATCTCCCACGTGAAGATGAGGGGATAGGGTGTCCCCATGAAGTGACCAAGCTAATTTGCTTTAATTGCAGAGGTGAAGGGGTTTTGTTGCTGTGCAATCATTACTACCATTTTCATTCAAAAATGAAAACTTGAGAGGCATCACATACAGACAAATCTTTTTCTGAGATAATTTTATTAAAAAAAGACACCTAGCAATAAAAATAAATAATAATGAAAGTCAAAATTAACCCCCCTAAACTACAGACCTGGGATTTAAAGTCAGATTTTTGTGGAAATGTTAAAAATGAGTGACATCAAAAAGCAAAAGGAGTGTTGGTGTTTCTACCTCTTTTGCAACTTGTAAATGAATGATCAGAATTGCATTACTCAGAAATTGCTGGTCTCTGTTAAACTATGTCTGGATGTTGTGGAAAGGTGTATGTGTCACACACCAGTCTGTATCAGAGTAGCTGAGCTATTAACTGGAAAATTATTTAAAGTCAACAAAATGCCAGTGAGTTTAATAAGAGCTGTTTTTAACACAAGATTGAGGAAGAAAAATAAATATATTGGATTTTTTTTTAAGTGGAGGTTTTTATACAGGCTTTAATTAGATTTTGGTGGAATATATTATTTTAATGGTTTTTCATTAATGAAGACTCCTCATTGTTTTGGTTGTACAATAAAAAAGAAAAAAAGTAATCTCAGATTCTATTTAAAGAGCAGCCTCTGTATTAAAAAAAAAAACTATTAAAGGTCCTGCAGTCACTGACAGAAAGATTTTGCATGAGAAAAGGATGCAGAATTCATCTAGGAAGCATCGCATAGCTTCAGGCGAGTTACACATTGTTTGGGAAGCCGTGGTGTAGCTGAGGCTCCTGACCCCGGCTCTGCTTTCACTCCGTGGAAGCCAACGGCCCTTGTGCCCCTGACTTCAGCAGGGAAGAGGTCGAGTCCCCAGTGACGTGGTTGCAATCCAAACGGACCTCGCGGGGTGGCCAGGCCCAGGAGAGCGATGGACTCTGCCGCTCTCTGAGCTGCACGTGGCCGTGGAGCTGGGGCTGTGGGGGAGAGGTGCTCTGCGGAGCACATCCCGAGCTGGGGAGCAGTGCTGTGCAGCGCTGCATGGTGGGGCTGGGCGAGAAAACACCCCGTGGCAGCTGGGAGAGGGTCATCTCCTCTCTGCGGTGCTCACTGTGGCCGAATTCCCTATCCTCACTGCCTTCATATCCCCCAGCCCCATCCCGTCGCTCGGGCATCTCCGGTCCCCGTCTCGTCTTGCTGCCATGCATTTGGCTGACCCGGGGGGTGAATACAGCCCTCCTTCCCCATGGTGCACCCAATTGTTGGACCCAAGCGCGTGATTTCCCGGAGGCAGGACTCGGATTTCAGTACCTGAGAATGCCGTTTGTTATCCGTCTGTCCTGTACGTTTCTCTGCTGCCCTTGCAGCAAATCCTCCAGCTCCAATCGGGCTGTCCGATGTTTACCTTGACTTTCAGGTCATCCCCCCATCTCACTGGAAATGTTGTGTGATTTATTAACCCGGGTGAGGGCTCTTACCTTGTTTGTGTTTTGAAAACTGAATTATTTGTCAGCCCCTAAAAGGCCAATTCAAATTCATTCCAAATTTTATTCGATTAAAGCCATGATGCTTACTGTTGGAAAAATGCAATACAAGTAGCCGTGAGTTACTCTGTTTCAGATGGGTAAATGTCTCACACAGAATGAAGGGGTTTTTTTTTACTAGGTTTAAGTGAAACAGAGTCTTTATTTAGTGTCATGTTTTTATTTAAAAGCATTTATTTAAAGTTCTAAAAAACAAAGAATTCAATAAAGCAAGACAGGTGCAACTGCAAATGATTAATGATATAATTCTCAGTACTTTATAAAGTGTCTAACGCTGAAGAGATTTATACAGTGCAGAATGGCAATTGTGCTTTGATGGAAGGAATAGGTAATCAATACCTGCAAGCTTAGAAAAAGTGTTCTATTTCCTCCCCTAATGATATAGGGTTTTTGCAAGGCAAGGATGTCTGGAGTATGAGACACTTGGAAGAAGAATTAATTTGAAATCTGTAGTGGAAGATCAGTTTCAATTAAAACCACACTTGAATTTCCATGGAAAAGAAAAAAAAAAAGGGCAGTTAGGCTTTAAACCTCCTGATGGCTACCAGTGAGTAAACGAATCCCACTGCACTATTCCTGATTGCATTTCATAGGTTGCTTTTTCTGGGTAGGGGATATAATTCATTTACCTGGGACTCAAACTCAGAAATAAAGATTTTCTTCTCAGCCCCCAGCCCCCCTTCGCCTTTTCACGCTAATTGTTGAAGCTGGGATGGCCCCAGTCCTGCACGGCTGGGAATGGAGATGTTGAGGTCGTGGCCTCTATTTCTGTCTAGAATTGCTGCCATAATGGTGTAGGTCGTATTGCATGTAATAATTTGCATATCAAAAACTTCGGAAAGAAATGAATGGAAAACCTAACCGTTTATAAAATCCTGGGCTGATTTTAACTAGCAGGTCTTGAACCTCTAAATCAGAGCTTAGCCTTATGACTGTAATTTGGGATGTCAGGACTCGGAGTCACAGCACCAGCACTAAGTTGGGGTTTTGAATTGCTGGGAGAATTTCATTGCATTGGGTTTTTCTTTAATAATTCATCACCAGTACAGAAACATTTTATGCATGAAAACTAATATTATCACATGAAGAGAGCAGATACTGCTGGGCTTTGTTAGGCAAATTATAGATTTAGAACCAAGTGAAGTTACTGCATTTATAGAAAGAGTTGTATTGGTAATAAATTAATCCAAACAAGTTAAATTAATTTTAAGATAGAAGACTTGGGTTTGTTAAAATAATGAGAAGCTATGCAATCCTTTAAAGGTCTTTGAAAAAACACATTTCCATGAGATTTCAGTCCAGGTACCTATGTCACTTGAGGTTTTAATTCAACATGGTCATTTGTTTACCTTTATGGCTTATTTTATTCATTTTGACAAGACAGTTTTCACTGCAGATTGGTTGAGAGCTGGCTATACTTTAAAACAAACAAGCAAACAAACAAAACCAAAGTCTTTGTGACAAGAAGCACGGAAGGATCCCTGCAGTCCCTGTTCAAATAAATCCGCCTACTCCAAAAAAAAAAATCTCCCCATTGACTGAAGGATCACCAAAATACTTGAAAAAGGAAAATTTGAGTGCACAGCTCCTTTTGAATGCACAGCTGAAACCACTGCGATAGCCTCTGTGAGCAGAGTGCTTTTGAAAAGCTCACCCCATGTTTATGACAAAGCCAGAAAAGGAGAGCTGGCAGGTTTGATGATTATGTGTAGTGCTAAACATTTTAAAGCAAATTCCCAAATTTCATGGAGTAAATACAAGGTTATATGAAAACTAGATCTGAATTGCCAATTAATTTTCTGCAAACCGATTACTAAGAGCATCCCAAATCAGGAAAAATTTCTGTGTTTGAGTGGAACACGTTCAGTTTTCCCCATGTAGGGTTTTTAATAATTCTGTTCTCCTTGGCTGTGGTACATTGGGAAATTAACTGGAAGTGGCTTTTGCTGACAATACAAGTTGAACCATGAGATAAACGAAACTGGTTTTTCACCTGGGCAGATGATGTAAATGATTTTTAAAGGATGTTGCAATTTTGCCTAATTGTAGTTGAAAGTAAAACACTTTGTTGTTGTTGTTTGGTTGCCATACAGCATTTGTGTGTGATGAGTAGAGCACAAAATCTTACTATTGATTAACTGTCCTGTGTTAGCCCATGGGAAGATAGGAAGAATGCATTTTGCAACTAGACAGATTAAAACCCAGGGGCCAAAGAAACCGGCTTTTACAACTGCTGGCTTTGGCTGGCACTAATTGAATTTACATATGCTTCTCGGATGCAGGGGTAATAAATGCATATTAGTGCATCACTTAGTGCTCTCTGCCTGTCAAACAGACGTGCTGGCCGTGTTGTTCGGAGGTGTGATACAGGTATGGCATCAGGGGTCTCGGGAGAGCGGAGTTCAACTCTGGGTTGTAACTTGGTTTTGGTAGATGAGCTTGGGCAAATTGCTTCCCTTCTCAAGCCATCAATTTCCCTGTCTTTACATGAGAATAATGTTGCTGATCCCTGCTGTAAAGCACTTCAAGAACTGTGAGTGAAAAGTGCTTTACAAGACCTCAGTGCTGTTATTTCAGGAGCTTAAACCACTGTTTGCACTCATAGGAAGATAATCTCTTCGTGTCTGTCGTGGTTTAACCCCAGCTGGCAACGACAGCACCACGCAGCCGCTCGCTCACTCCCCCCAGTTGGGATGGGGGAGAGACTCGGAGGAGTAAAAATGAGAAAACTCCTGGGTTGAGATACAGACAGAACAAAGCAAAGAATTCATTCACCGCTTGCTGTGGACAGGCAGGGCTCTAGCCATCCCCAGGAAAGCAGGGCTCCACCACGCATAACAGTGACTTGGGAAGACAAATGTCATCACTCTGAATGTCCCCACCTTCCTCTTTATTCCTCAGCTTTATAGGCCAAGCATGAGGCCATGTGGTCTGGAATATCCCTTCGGTCAGCTGGGGTCAACTGCCCCGGCTGTGTCCCTTCTCCATTCCTTGTGCCGTCCCAGCCTCCTTGCTGGTGGGGTGGGGTGAGGAGCTGAAAAAGCCCTCACCCTGTGTCAGCACTGCTCAGCAGTAACAAAAACATCCCTGTGTTAGCAACACTGTTTCCAGCACAAATCCAAAACGCAGCCCCATCCCAACTATTGTGAAGGAAATTAACTCTGCCAGCCAAAACCAGCACAGTACAATTTAAGAGTTGGAGAGGGAGGTAATAATAATTTGAAATTCCCTGGAGATCCTCCTGCATGCGCTGTTGAGCGTCCCTGGCATTGTATCGCGTCTAGAACTGGTATGTGGTGGGGATGACAAGGTCTTTTCCTGAAACCTTTTATTTTTATGTAATGTTGTCGTTGACCATTGGTGTGGGAGAGCCTTGCAGGCTGAGTTAGGGCTGTGGCAGCCAACCTCTGGCAGATTTAGTGGTGTCTTGCACAAGCATGAGGTAATGGGTAGCTGGTACATTATTTGTCTCATGTGAGAAGGTAACCTATATACTATTATATTAATAATGTATAAAGCTTTAGGAAAGTTCCAGTAACACCATGCTGATTTGTAACATATGCACGAGGAGGCTTGGGAATTGCAGATAGTTTTATGGGATAGTAATTTAAAAAAAAAGGGCATTGTTTGTCACTGCTGGAGGCAAAGTTGGACACTGCAGAGAGCTGATTTCTATCTCCTCGTAAGTTTACAAGTCTTTAACTTCTTTCAAATGCTAGAAACAGTGGAGTGACCTCAGGAGCTTAAGTCATTTGTCCTCTTACTTAAGACTTATCCAGGACTCTTGAGCCACTGGAATGTTAATTGGCATTGGTATTTTTCAACAGGTACCTATGGTCCCGAGCACTGGGTTACTTCCAGCGAGAAGTGCAGAGGGTCTCATCAGTCTCCCATCGACATCGTAGACCATCAGGCCCGTGTTGGAGATGAGTATCAAGAACTGCAACTCGATGGTTTTGACAACGAATCTTCGAATAAGACTTGGATGAAAAACACAGGAAAAACGGGTATGTTCTTCTCTGTTTGTCTCCATCGCCTGCCTGCAGTCAATTAAAAATTCAAGCCATGTTCCACCCTCCTCCTTTTTCATTGTTCTGTTGTTTGGGTTTTGCTGCCTTTTTTTCTTTTTTAAATAGAATTTTCCAGCAGCAGCCACCTATCCCTGCCTTTGCATTTTGTGCAAAGCGACTTCTGCAGATTGATTTTAAGGCTTTTTTTTAAGGGTGGGGATTTTTTTAGGTTCTCAGTATAAAATGAATCTCTTGGTACAGTTGTTCCTTAGAATAAAAGTCTGTATAAGAGTTTCAAGCTTTAATTACCAGCTTTGGGAAGCTGTAACATCTGATCCAAAAGAATGCTGGGATGCAAGGCTCAGACTTTTGTAGGAAAGGGGAAGTCTTCAAAATTGGAAGGTTTTAGAGAAGAAAGAGCAATAACTGCTCAGACTAGTGGGGACTTATTAATGTGTTTCTGATATGATTATTGCACTGTGTTCTTCACTGAACTGAATCCTCTTCTGCTCTGTCTGTTCTGGCTTTTAGAGAAAAGAACAGTCAGAGTACTGCTTATTTTTACCAAAACAGTTCACTCAAAGGTCAAGGTTGATTTATATGCAAAGCCTCATGCATTTGATTACTCTTTAATTCTAAAAATGTAAAAAGCAGAAATTATAAGGCCACCCTCTTCACTTGACAAGGTCAAATATTTTTAGGGAATTGGATTAAACCACTAATTAATTCAATTTTATTTATTGGAGGTATATTTTTATCTTTATTAACATTCGACATGTATCTTCCTGGTGCTTTATGTAACGTGGCCCCAGTCAGAGGTCTGCTAGCAAAACCCAGGGCGTGTACCTGCTCCGGGAGCTTGCAACGCAGCTCCACACGCAACGTGACCTCAGATACATCCACTGCTTCTAGGGGAGCTTGGATCTGGAGTCCAGCAAGCGCTTCAGATCCAGTTCCAGCAGTTCAGGATCTTAGCAGGAGCTGGGAGTGAGTGTCCCTCAGATAAGATGGAGTGACAGCCGGGGATCCTGTTTTCTCTCACTGCAAACCAAATCCAGTGAAGTAAACCACCACCAAGCATAGCTTGGGATTTTGTGCATGACTGAGGGTTTTTTTCCAGCTTTGGTAAGAAATGTTCCTGTTTGCTGTGAAATCTTGACTTAGTTGCCCTTTGTAACAACATGAGGTTCAGGCAAGGCTGACTGCTATGGAAATTTGGTGCTTAATTGATCTATTCATGTTCTGCATCCTGCCCTCTTGGTCACAGAGGAGTATTTGTAGTAACCAGCAATACATGCAATTAGAAATACCACGGAAAAAAAATGCTGATGCTCTACCGTATGTGTGATAGGAACATACTGCTGCACATACAATAGGAGACCGTGTGGAACCGAAACGTGCCGGCAAGTTTGCCAGTCTGCGTGCGGCTGGCAAAGCAAGCTGCATCTTCAGTCTCCTCTGCTGGGGGATGTAGTGCTGCTGCTATATTTGATTTCTTCACCCATTGGGTATGGAGTTTTGCTGACAAGTTATTGCTTCGTAGAGCAACAGGAACTGTCACTTTTCTTGGTAACTTACGGCCTTTTACTGGTAACGCGAAGACTCTTTTTGCCTCGCTGTCATCCCTGATTTTGTCTGCCGAGCTCTTAACTCCTCCCTTATTTTATCAAGGCCCATTCCTTTTCTTGGTTTTCTGACCTTTTGAAGTAACTTGCCTGGGATTAATTTTCAAGGTGGTAAGTGGTAAAGCACCAAACCAAGTGGGATGTTTTGGCTTTTGGGTAGAACGTAGAGGCAGGTTGTGCCATAAACTGCGATGCATTTTGGCAGCAGAGTTTTGGAGCAGATGGCCACAGGAGACCTTCATATTGCAGACTGACAGAGACAGTAAACTAAATATCTGTTTAAGCGATGGTGACGGATGTAGAGGGCATTGCTCAGCAATTAATGACTGGCTAAAAGAGACAGGGATCCAAAGGCCATTAACCTTGATGCTCATTAACTGGCAGGAAATGTGTTGCTTGGGTTATTGTTATTGCTATTGGACCTAGTAATTTTTTGTAGGATAGAACAATTAGTTATTTTGATGCTCTGAAATGTTAAAAGGTAAAGAGGTTGTTGCTTTTTAGATTTGTTGTGGGTTTTTTGGGTGTAATGTCCGTCCCCCCCACATTAGGTAAAGGACAGACAATGTACAGGAAACAGCTTTTCATTCAGAAAATGGAAATGGATTCATTAAGGCACTAATGTTAGCTCGATTTCATCACTGTAATAGCTGGTTCCCAAGTGGTAGAGATCACTTGGAGAATGTAAGCACATTTCATAGTTGGATTTGCATTAGCTGTTTTCACTTGTGCCCCCTCATAATGAAGTGTTAGCTGGTGTCACCCAGCCTGAGGCTGATGAGGCTTCTTACGCCCAGCCTGCCCCGGGGGAAGAGCGCCCGTGGGAGCAGTACCCACCCCAGCACGACACAGGCATTGCTACCCCTTTTTAGATTATGGAGAACTCCTCAGAACTCCTTCCATTTAGAGAAACCTACTAACATTTCTGCCAGAGGTGTGTTTTTAAGTACTTTTCCTGCGTGATGTGCATCGCTCTGGCCAGTCCTGGCCATCAGAGCTGCTCTGCTGAGGCAGAGAAAGAGCTGCTTTGTATCCAAGATTTATTTTTGATCTCAAGAAGGTGACAGGCACAGAGCTCCAGCCCTGATTCTGCAAATGGCATCACGCAGTGGTGATCTTGGTGGCTGTGGACCACCTCCTTTGGGTTTGTAATCTCAATTATACGGTATTTAAAATTAGTGGGCTTTGGGGATTGATTCCTTGCTGTGCACTGTAAGGAAATCTTGGGATAAAAGCAGTGGCTCCCAGAGGCCAGTAAGGTGATGTTTAGTTATTCCAGATGTGAAAACTAGAAATCACATGGAGGGGAGGGAAGCCCCCAAATCACTGGCAGTAAGGGGATGCTGCTGAGATAGGAAGGTGATGGGAACATGTGTTGTACAGCTCAGCAGTGTAAGAAATACTGTAAAATGAACAATTAGATGAACATTTCAGATTGTACATCCTCCTAATTATCCTTTTAATTATTCATCTAAAACAAGTAAAATGACCCCTGACAGAGCCATAAATGATTTAGGAACTATCAAATATTTATTAGATGCAACTGAATCCCCACAGAGTTTTTTTAACAGATGCACATGAATCTGCTTTCCTGTATTCCTCATCTCCAATTTTATCTATGGAATTTATAACCAATTGAATGAGATTTTCAGTATTTAAAATACTGCTGAGCTCATTGAGAATTGTTTAAGGGAGGAAGAGAGCAGTGGTGCTCTTAGTTTCCTATATTTGGTGTAAGGAGACAGCAGACACCAGTAGGACACTGGCGGCACAGGCAGTATCCTATAGCTGGTCCTACACAAACCCTTTGGTACAAGGGGAGTGCTGAAAGAACCAGAAGCCATGGAAGAAAATAGCCCCAGGATGTCTCTGGCACAACTTACAAATGCTTGAAGAATCTCATGCGATTTAACATAAACACTTTAAAGTAGAGATGTTTCTGAATTGCACCCGAGATGAAGGCAACGGTCTGTACTCGCGGGAGGGCAGCCCTGGGGCGGCAGAAAGCCAAGCCTGCAATGGAGCCTGCCCACCCGTTCATCGGCAGAGGAATGGCTTTTATTTCACGACTAGCCCGTTTTGTTTTTTCAGCAGTGAATAAAATCCTCCCTCTTACATAATAAAATTGGATTTATATTAATATTCCCGTTGTGGTGACACAGTTGGCTTGAGAACACAGAGAAATCTTTGTGGGTTATGCTATTCCCATTAAATATTTAAAAAAAAAAAAAATCAAAAAAAACCAACCCAAAAACTTTAATCACAGGATTCTGGGCACAGCAAGCGGTGGTCTGCAATGGCTTCTACAAGAAAAAACAATCTAATTTTCATTCTGTTTTTAAGTAAGTTTTGTAAGGGATGAGCAGAAAGGATTTTGTAAGGAGTTACTTTTGGGAACTGTGCCTATAAAAAATGGGAGATGCTAGGAAGGCAGGTGATCTTGTAGTGAGAGCAGCAGACAGGAATGTTTAGAAAGCTGGATTGGGTTCTTAGCTGGACCATAGACAATGTACCAGCTTCCACCATATGATTTTGCCCTCTATTTGGACCTACAGCTTTTATTGTTGCAGGAAATACAAAGGCTTTTGGAAATGAAAAGACAAAGATGATCCTTTTGACCCTTGTTGAATCACATAATAATAATGTCAGAGTTACTGTAATAAAACCCAAGTTCTTGTGGAAGATTCTTGTGAGTGGGTCTCAACACAGTTATTGTCACTCTCCCCGTTTTAGAGAAAGGAGGCGCAGGAAGGTTGAGGTGTCCAGCAGTAGAGGTGGGACAGGTCACAGGGGTGTCCCACCTCCACCAAAATAGAGGAAAAGCAACAAGCGTAGGATCCATTCTTTTCTTAACTTTTGATCTACAGACCTTCAGTGGTTTGCACGGCCAAGGATCATAGTCAGCCATTAATCCCTGGGAAGCACATTAAATGGGTTTTGATGGAATTTGCCATTTAAATTTTAATCAAAGTCCACTGAGGAGGGCAAAAACTCCTTGAGAAATTTGGACTTTGTGGGTTTTCTGTAGTCTGTGTAATTTCATAGAATAGTTTGGGTTGGAAGGGACCTTTAAAGGTCATCTGAAATTTTTCCTTATAGCTAGTCTAAATCTACCTTCTTTTAGTTTAAAGCCATTACCCCTTCTCCTGTTTCCACAGGCCCTGCTAAAAAGTTTGTCCCCATCTTTCTTATTAGTCCCCTTTAAGTACTGGAATGTGCTATAGGGTCTCCCCAGAGCCTTCTCTTCTCCAGGCTGAACACCCACAACTCTGTCAGCCTGTCCCCATAGCAGAGGGGCTCCAGCCCTCGGAGCATCTCCCTGGCCTCGCTCCAAGCACTCTTTATCCTTCTTATGCTGGGGGCCCCAGAGCTGGATGCAGTTCTCCAGGTGGGGTCTCACCAGAGCAGATTAGAGGGGGAGAATCCCCTCCCTCGACCTGTTGGCCATGCTGCTCTGGATCCAGCCCAGAATACAGCTGGTTTTCTGGGCTGCCAGTGCACACGGCCGGCTCATGTTCAGCTTTTCATCCACCAGTACCCCCAGGTCTTTCTCCTCAGGGCTGCTCTCGATCCATTCTCCGCCTGGCCTGTACTTGTGTTTGGGATTACCCTGACCCAGGTGCAGGACCTTGCCCTTGGCCTTGTTGACCTCCATAACGTTGGCACAGGCCCATTTCTTGAGCTCATAATTACTTCTATAATTAGCCAGCATTACTTGTAGATGCCTTTTTTTTTTTTAAACCAATCCCTGCAAAGAGGAAAATCATGACCTGACATTTTACTCACATTAGAAGTGTTCTAATATAATGAGAAAAAACTGTAAATGCTTCAGAAAAACTGTGCTAAGAACATCTTTCTCCTTGTTCTGTGTCTGTGCAGTTGCTATCCTGCTGAAGGACGAAAAAAAAAGCCGGGTTGCCAGGCAGATTCAAGGCAGAGAAAGTGGAGTTTCACTGGGGTCAAAGCAATGGATCAGCTGGCTCTGAGCACAGCATCAATGGCAAGAGGTTCCCCGTTGAGGTGAGTGGAAAGACACGTGCTTACGTTCTTGAAAAACAGGAAATGGGAATGTATTGCTGTAGTTTGAGATGACTGTGAAATAGGGCAATGTTTCCTTCAGTGAACAACCACGTGCAAGGCCCTCCCGGCCCTCACAGCACTCTATCTATCATCTCTTCTGTGCTTTTGCAGTGTCCGCTCTGAGCTCGGCTCTGCTAGCTTTGCCAGCTCTCACATCCCATGGGATAAGTCGCAAACAGCCACTTTTCTGGTTTCTCCCAGAAGCTTTTCAATGTGTGGGAGGATCTCCTTGCAAATATCCGCAAAGTGACCTCGTTGTCCTCCAGATCGTTCCTTTCCCATGGTGCTTACAAACAGGCAGCAGCGGTTTGGGAGCCATCATGCCGAGGCCGATGTCTTTCCTCAGTACTGCTTCCTTGCGCGCGCAGGGCCCTCTCTCTGTGTTCAGCTGCAGTCCCTTGCCTTGGAATAACGGGACACCTGCACAGATCCGTGCACGCAGCCGCACGTTTGCCTGTGCGGGAGCCAGCTGGACCCAGGCCGGCCCTGCTTTGCCAGCGGCGGAGATGGCAGAGCAGCGAGGTGTCGGCTCGGGCACAGCACCCGGCGAACGCAGCCGTGTTCAGCGCGACCATCTGCAGCTGACCACAGGAACGTGCCTTTAGATGGCGGGAGAGCCCCGGTGTCGTGGGCTGCTGGGGAGCCCCGTGCAGTTGGGTCTTGGCCTGTGAGCGATAGTCCGGGGTCACCATCGGTAGCGCAGTGTTCTCCGTGTTGGTACTTGTCACTTTATATTCGAGGTTTTGCGTGGTGATGGAAAACAGATGTTAACTGATTCCCTGTGCCTGTCGCTGAGCAGATGAGCACTTTCAGAGCGTGGTTGCAGGGAGCTTTGGTGCCCAGGAAGCTCACGGGTGGGCAGAAGTGGTTGTCTTGTGAGCTGGGTCTTGCAAGAACTCGATTCAACCCCAGCTTGCCGTAACTTGTCACTTGTGGCTTTAGCCAGGTCATTTTTCAGGAGGTGGGAAGGAGCCACCAGAGCACAAAGTGAGCTTGTAACAGACTCTGGTGCATGGGCAAAACCTCCAGTTTTCATGTCTGTGCTCCAAATGCCCCATCCCATGAGAATCAGAAGCCATTTTTTGTCTTCCCATTCTGAACCTGTACTTTGGATGTTCTGTGAGGCAGATTTTTTTATTTTCTTACTTTTTAATGAGCTTTTCTAACAGCTTCTGGCTTGATGTAGCTGTGATTTCTTATAAGGAGCCACCCCTGAACACATGGAGTGAAGGCATGAACGTTGTGCTGCTCTCTCTGTCGGCAATACTGACATTTGTAACCCGATTTTTGGGTGGCAGAAAGAGCACTCAGGAGGCCCACAGAGGCAGCAAGTCCTCTTTTGAAATTTCAGGGAGTGGGGATGGTAAAGGCGTCTGGGCCTTCTTGTTTGTGTCAGAAGTAGTATTTCCACTCCACAAGCCCTTTCTTATGATGCCAAGGCTATTTGATGCTGCCTTGGTGAATGGAAGCTATTTTACTTGAGGAATTTGCCTTTTTTTCCCAAGGAATAACTTTCCTTTGGTTGAAATATTCTTCATTTTCTTTTCAATTGGTTGAAACACTGATTTTTACTACTTTAAAACTGAGAAGAAAAATAAAAGGAAGAGTCTGCATTTCTGAATTTAGGTCACTTGTTTATGAAGGCTGTGCAAAATACATTGCTGTATCAGTTAGGTTTAGTGTTAATCTTAATAACAAAAATGTAATTTTCCAAGTGATTTGTATTAATTGCAATGACATGAACCTCTGTTCTCTGACCTTCCTGGGCATGATGGCATTAGCAGAATTCCCACAGCCTTTCCTTTACTATTTCTTAAAGGAAGAGCAATTCCAAACCAAGCCTTTCCCTGTTGTGATGCTATCTACCTCCTGGCCAAGAATTCCAAATTTCAATCATGTGTTGTGAAGGATTTTTATGGGTGGATTTTGAAGGGTCCAGTAGGTCTAAGGTGATGAAACAGTCCTTCTTGCCAATAAATGCAAAAATGGTCCCTGTAGTTGGGATTAGACCTCTCAAATGGTAACTGTACATGTGTGCATAGTAGAGCTTTTAATTTGTAATGCTAATTGTAGTTCAGCTTGCAACTGTCTGATGCAGTCCTAATTGTCTGATGCTGGGAGGTCTGTGCCAGAAATACTGCACTTCATTTGAGAAGTGACATTTCTCGGAAGGCTGTAGAAAGGAAAAAACCAAAATCCTGGCCTACAGGAAGCAAATCCCAAATCACTGATTATTCTGAGCCCGTGGACATGGGTAAAGCTTTTAAGGAGCGTGCAGGCATTGGCATTCCGGGTCTGCAAGTTACAGTGGTGATGCAGCTGGAAGAAAACATTTTCCGAGTCTGATTGTGCAACCAGATGTGGACTGTGCAAAACCCATTAGTTCCAAAGCACATCCCAAGGGAACGCAGATAGATCAGCTCCATCCGTAGACTGTGCTCTGTGCACATGAAGTTTAGCTGTTTTTTCCTCTGGGAAACAAAGTGCTTGCTGGTAGTCTTTTTTCCTTGAAGAGGATGCAGAAAGTAATTAGAAATGTCAGATATAATACAGAGCATTATTGTTTGACCATGTTGTTTGGTTTTTATTATTACGACTAATGTGTCAGATGGTAAGGCTGTCTACGTTAATTGGTTTCCTTCATTGAAGCCCATCTGGATCATATTTTTTTGTGATTTATATGTTAAATTAGTTGGTAAGATATATGAGAACATCCTTTTGTTTCCTGCTTTAAAGGCATGTTGGATCAAAGGCGTATTTTCTTGCAGTACTTTTATGCAGATGTGATTCCTTTCCAAACCATGGCGTATGTAATGATGTTCTTTTGTTACGTGGTCTTGATCGCTTATTTATTGATTAGATTTTCCTTGGTGATACTTGAGCCTTATGAAGCCTGTATGAGCTCGGCGGTCTCCAAAGTAGCATTTATGAACTCAGATGTCTGCGAGGCTCTAACTCTAATCCACCTCCAGGTGCCAGCTCGTGATACCAGGCCTGGTCAGCATTGGCTTGAGGTTTGGTTTTTCCCTCCTCCTTGCCATTTTAGCACGATTGTTTGGGTGCGGCCAGGAACTGGTGCTGCGCCGCTGAAGATGAAAGCGATACCATTAGCGTACTGCTGTGTGAGTGGAGCAGGAATCCTAATGAGGACGCGGGCTCCGTGCCAGTTTAGAACAGCGCTCTCTCCTTTTTTCTTCAAGTTAAGAAAAGTTGGTAACAACGCATTCTCTACATTTTAATGAATTGCTGACTCCTTTGTATTCTGTTATTGTTCTTCTCTGCTATAATTACTCAGGTTTTTCTTCTTCTTTCTGAAGTCGAAGCGCTATAAATGAACATGCAAACGCTAGAAACCATTTAAATGGTGAAGTGACAAAATTAAAATAAAGAAGACGAGCTTCCTTCAGGCCAGGAGAGAGCCCAGGTTCCCCTCATTAGAGCCAAGAGGAGTAATTGCAGTGCTTAAATCTTCAGTGTCACGGCGCCGGTTCCAGCCCTGCCTGCGTGGAGCTTGCGGCAGGCAGAGTCTGCCGTGCGGGCTCCCTGCTAGGTGGGAAACCCGGCACTTAATATTTCACAGGCAAGCAACAGCTGACGTGGCAAAGCTGTGCTGGCAGAGGTCGGAACCACCGTCCCAGCATAACTGATTTTTTTGTTTTGTTTTTGAGCTGCTTCATACTCATTTTTATGCAAAATGCTGATTATTTCTGTGAAGAGCAGAAATCAGAGAGTGATTTTAATCATGACTGTGTTAATTTGATGTGAGCTTTGGCTGTTTATAAGCTTTCTCTTTAATGGTGCTAATTGTCAGTTATAATGTGAACACCATTATACAGTAATATACAGTAATTTATTTAGTAAATGAGAATCTTATTCCAAGGACCATACTGCAATATGCCACAGAGACCTCATCCCTTTAATCTTACATGAACAAACTTGCACTGTCTAGGCCAAATTGGTAATAGGAACATCAACTTGGCTTCTGAAATAGCGATGTGATTTCGTGCCCACAAGTGCCAACATGTGTGTTTTTGGAGATCTCGAGTTCTCCATTAAAAAAAAAGAAATATCAAAAAACCCCAACAAAACCCCACAAACCATCCCAGCAGAAAATGAAGAGCTAACACCCTTTCATGTCGATTAATGTGCTTTTACGTTATGTTGATATATTAATTTTGCTAAATTGTTATTACAAAACAATCATTTGCATTAACAATCCTTGTTCTTCTTCAAGCGTGTTTCTCAGAAGACTTTCCAGGTTCTAATGGTGCCTTTGTTCTTGCTACTTCTTTGATTTTCTTCCTTTTCCCTTTGAATATACATACTCACTCCAGCGTGGTCTAGCTCTGCAGCTAGTTGCTCTAATTTGAATGCTCAGATCTCCTTGCCAAAGTTTATCGCCGGTGCTATCCCACCTCTCATTATAGCACTTGAATTCCGTTGTTTTATATTATCACAGGCAGAAGACGTCATTACCGTAGAAGAAATGTGTGCTATTGGGTGCACAGAAACCTCTACTACAGGGAACACACTGAGACAAGTTAACTTTTTTGGTGTTACCCTGAATGTTAAGTCTTTCTGTCGCCCTTGGAATCATCTACAGCACATGTCCAGCCTTTTGCCCACCTGTGGGTGGCAGGGGATGTTTACTTTCTAATGTTAGAATTGGAGCCTTTTCTGTTCTTTAGTTTTGGTGTATTTGTAAGTTTTGCGTCGATTTCTGTGTGCTTTTTTGACATACTGAGACATGGACTTGTCGCAGTATGTTCCCTTGACATACAGGAGAGAACAAACACCCCACGTTGCCGTGTGGCAGCTGGGTTTATTTTTTCTGGCCTCCAGCATATCTGGTGCTTGTAATTTTGCAAAGACCTCTGGTGTTGGCTTCAAGCACAAGTGAAGACTAATTGTGAAACAGGGAGCCAGCGTTGGTTTTATTT